TTGAAGCATATTCTGTCATGTGATGAAACTCGGCTTGTAAAACAGCCATTATCTCAGAGAATAACCTAGGGGTGGCCAGGATAGAGACCTAAATATGGCTGGCCTTGAAGGGGCCATGTGCCATAGATCATAAACATTCAAGACCCAGTCAACCTCTTCTGCGTTCAACAGGTTACACCTTTCAAAACCTCCACCCTCGACATCCCTGACAGCTACATTATTCTCATTTTACAGAGAGGGAAACTGAGACTTGGAATGAGGCCATGCCTGGCCCAAGGTCACATGAGGACTAACGTCAAAGCCAGGGTGGAATCACAGGTCTCCTGATGTCGCAGTTTCTCTCAGTCAGCCGACAGGAGTGAAGTACTGGTCAGCTTCTTAGCAGAGGCTGCACTGACAACAAATTGGGAAGCGCTTGTGGTGGTCTTCACCTCTTCTTACCCACTCTTCCTCCTGATTTCCCCCCGGAAGCCAGGTACTCTCTTTCCCCACTAGGGTGTCCTCCCTCCCTCCGCTAAGAACCCTTCACCGATCCCTGTCACCCACTGCCAGGCACAGGTACTCTTTTTTATTAGTTAATACAGCCTATCAAGCACTTCCATATGCAGTGTTCACAATACACTATGAAGAAAGATAATTGTGTTATACATTTTATATGTGAGAAAACTGGCTCTGATGGTGGCCGGATCCAGAATCCAGGAGGGAGGGTTCACCCAAGTCTGTTAAATGGGTAATAGCTGATTTCCAAACACCCTGACCGGCTAGGGCAGTGGATTATGCTTTCAAAGGAGAGGAGAGACTTCCTGGCACCCCTCAAATCAACCCCTCCAGATAAGGCGGGCCCTGGGAAGCTTTGTGGAATGGTGACTGTGCAGTCACCCCTCCCAGCCCCACTGCACCAGCCTAGCCATGGGACTGTGTCCTGGCCAATCTGGAGTTCTGCATCTACTCTCTCATCTTCAAAGGATCGTGTTGTATTAAAACCAGAAAGCCAGGCTCTGCATCTTCCCCCTCAGTGGGGCAGGCACCTGAGAGCAGGTGCATGCCTGTGACCCCATCAGAGAAGGGAGGGCACAGGCAAGACTCATCTCTGAAGCTGAGTCAAAGCTTGAGAAACCCCAGCTCCACCCTGCAGGCAAACAATGGCGTGACTGGGAAGCAGACACCTGAGCACTGGGAGGGGACCTGCCAGAGACAGTGTCTTGTCTCTGGATTTTGAAGAAAAGAAAGGTTGATAATGCCTCCATCTGAAGACAAATGGAACGTATTTATTATGCCATTTCCGGGAATGAAAGCAGAAAACAAGAAGGAGCATGCTGGGTTAATCATGAGTGGCTTTTGGGGGAGGAGGACCACGCTTAGCAGAGAAGACAGTGGATGTTTGGGGCTGCCAGCGTTCCTGCATTTTAGCTGCCTGTCCTGTAAAGTGAAAATTCAAAACCGAGCAAGTAGCATCTCATTTTAACAATTAGGTTTAGCTGGGCATGGTGGCTCATACCTGCAATTCCAGCACTTTGGGAGACCCAGGCAGGCGGATGGCTTGAGGCTAGTAGTTTGAGACTGGCCTGGGCACCATGGAGAGATCCTGTCCCTACAAAAAAATTTTTTTAAATTAGTCAGGCATGGTGGTGCATGCCTGTAGTCTCAACTACTTGAAAGGCTGACACAGGAGGATCACTTGAGCCTGGGAGGTTGAGGCTCCAGTGAACCATGATCGAGCCTCTGCACTCCAGCCTGGGTGACAGGATGAGACCTGTGTCAAAAATCAAATCAAATCAAATCAGAATAATGTCATATTTTATTTATCTTAATTTTGGGTTGATATTTAACCCACAGTCATGACTTAGAACATTTTAGTTTTGTTCCCTAATTACTTAATAATCTGTCAACAGACACTTTAGAAGATTTACTTAAGGAGACCTTGCAACTTTGTTTTAATGTAGGAAGTTCATTTGCAACATGAGTCATTTCACCCTCTAATTTATCTGTTTGCATATAAGATGTTCTAATACTAATGTTAGGTATTCTGTATGATAACATTAAAGAAAGTCCTTTTCACAGAGGAGCTTCCTTGGAGGGAGCACAGTGAGAAGATGAATCTCCAGAAATATGTGGTTAACGTATCTCCTCACTCCACCCCTTATGCCACTATGATACATTTCTAGAAGACCCTAGCCAATGCTAGGAGTTTAGGGGGAAACCAGCCCTGGACCTCACGTGAGACACTAGTCTCCATGGAACATCCACAGACTGTGCCATCGGAAGCAGAGCACTGGCAGTGGAAGGGAAGGGCGAGTAGCCAAATCGCCCACCTGGGAAGCGTGCCAGGATCTGCCTCATGGAAGCGACGTGGATCTGAAGCACCAGTGCCCCTTTCCTGTGATGTGACACAGTTGCAGTTAGAGACAGGGGAAGGAGCCAAGGGAGGAGGGAGGTAGCTCTGCAAATACTCGCCCTCACTGGCTGTGAAATCTTGGGTATATCCCTTAACTTTCCTGGGCCTCAATTTTCCTGTTTTTCAATGTGAAGAGATTGGCCGACATTATTGCTAAGGTCCCATTGAAAGCTAAGGGTCTATAAAAGTGTGATTAGGTCAGGGAAGGTGGTCTTGTTTCATCCTGATGGAATTGACAGTGAATTGAGGGTGTTGAGGTTGATTTCAGGATCAGTGGGTAAGAGTGCCTTCTTTGGTGAAAGGTGTCTGCTATGAGAGGGGTGAATGGTCACGAGCATGCAGGTACCCACCATTCCCGATTCAGCCTAAAGCAGGGAGCGTTGTGCTAGAGTGTGTACGTAAGAGTCCTTCATGCACTTGAAGAAGGAGAGGGAATATAAATTGGTTAACGATCTTGCACAAGCTACCACCACCTATAATTCCTGTTTTAGCTCCCTTAAGACAGTTCCAGACAAAATTATTCCATTTTCCAAACCTTGCCCGATACTTTCCTGCCTCATACCATTCAATCTATAATGGTGCCCTACTCCCAGATTTCCCAGTGAAATTCGGTCTTCAGGAAGCCTCTTAAACACCACTTTCCCCACAGCCCCTTTCCCCAATCTTTCCCAAAAGATGTGCTTCCCTCCTTCGTTCAATCGTTTCTCATCTACCCTTCACACTAACCAGGCACATATTATATCCACTTCATACATGTCAATCAACACATGGACACATGAATGAATGAGTGGATGATACGTAAATGAATAAGCTGAGAGTTTGGCCTTACAGGCAGAACTTATGAAGTCCTAGCATATGTTTTGGACTAATTTATCTTTTCAGGTTCAGGTTGATGCTTAAGTTGCTTTCCCTGTTTATCCTAATCATACATCTGGTCCTTCCCTTCCCTTCTTCTACATTGGAGATCTATGCTGCAATCATCCGTCACCTGAAAGAGGCCCAGTGCCTAGATGTTGATACGTCTAGATGTTGTGTATGTGTGTGTGTGTGTGTGTGTGTGTGTGTGTGTGTGTGTCTGTGTGTAGAGTGGCTCTTCATATCCACCCAGAGTGCAAGCTCCTTAAGGGCAGGAAGGATGCTCAAGACATAATTTACACCCAGGTAAAAATGAATGTTTGGCCAGATAATAAACTAGCTAGTTGGTGAGTGTGTGTCCAGTGATTAAAGGATGCTGGTGAGTGAGCAAGTCAGCAAGTGAGCAAGTGAAAGACGGAGGGAGGAGGAGGGGGTAGGTGCATAAGTAAGAAATGAGCTGATAGACTAGCTGCCTAACTGGCCAGTTCACTGAACAACTGACCAGCTGGTTGGTTGAGTGGTTGATCAACTGATACGCTGATTGTTTGGCTGGCTGGCTGGCTGATGACTAATTTTAAAAAGCAGGTCCCGGTATAGTAGAAGAAAGAAAGCCCTATAGAGGATTGGGGGCTCAAGGTAGAAAACAAAAAGAGAATGCTCTGCAAGATGCTGGAGAGGATGTGGAGAAATAGGAACACTTTTGCACTGTCGGTGGGAGTGTAAATTAGTTCAATCATTGTGGAAGACAGTGTGGCGATTCCTCAAGGACCTAGAAATAGAAATTCATTTGACCCAGCAATCCCATTACTGGGTATATATGCAAAGGATTATAAATCGTTCTATTATAAGGACACATGCACACGAATGTTCATTGTGGCACTGTTTATAATAGCAAAGACTTGGAACCAACCCAAATGCCCATCGATGATAGACCGGACAGGGAAAATGTGGCACATATACACCATGGAATATTATACAGCCATAAAAAACGAGTTCGTGTCCTTTGTAGGGACATGGATGAACCTGGAAACCATCATTCTCAGCAAACTAACACAAGAACAGAAAATCAAACACCGCATGTTCTCACTCGTAGGCAGGTGTTGAACAATGAGAACACATGGACACAGGGAGGGGAGCATCACACACTGGGGTCTGTTGGGGGGAAATAGGGGAGGGACAGCGGGGGGTGGGAAGTTGGGGGAGGGATAACATGGAAAGAAATGCCAGATATAGGTGACGGGGTGGAAGGCAGCAAACCACATTGCCATGTATGTACCTATGCAACAATCCTGCATGTTATTCACATGTACCCCAAAACCTCAAACACGATAAAATATATATTAAAAAAAATTAGAAAAAGAAGTGTATCATGTGAACTGGACAATTATTCCCCCCGCCCCCCTTTTTTTGAGGCAGAGTCTCACTCTGTTGCCCAGGCTGGAGTGTAGTGGCATGATCTTGGCTCACTGCAACCTCCACCTCCTAGGTTCAAGCAATTCTCCTGCCTCAGCTTCCCGAGTAGTTGGGACCACAGGCACGCCTCACCACATCCAGTTAATCTTTGTAATTTTAGTAGAGATAGGGTTTCACCATGTTGCCCAGGCTGGTCTCAAACTCCTGACCTCATGTGATCTGCCCATCTAAGCCTCTTCCAAAGTGCTGGGATTACAGGCGTGAGCTATCGTGCCCAGCCTGGACAATTGCTTCTTAATTTTCTTTAATTCTTTCTCTTAGGAGTTTCCTGTGATTTTCATTTCTAGTGTCAAAGAAAAAACATTTCAATGACACTTGTTGCCTTGGTTGAGGAAAGACTTTATTCAGGACCATTGTGACAGATAAAGGGACAATTGCAATAGGATTTTTTTCATTGGCGGGGAGTTTTAGCTCAGTTCCAAATGCAGCACGGACAAATGAGAATCTATAGCCAAGGAGCAGGGTGGGAGTCAGTGGATAAAAAGTTACTAAGAGGAAATAGCAGAGCTAAGAGTAATTGTGGTTAAACCAACCCAACAGGATTCTTTCTTAAGATAAGCCAGGGTGATCAGACTTGACGTCGGGGGCGGAATTCACAAAGAACCTGATTAGATATCACGGGTAATCAGACATTAAGGGTGGGTGGTTCTTTGTAAACTTAGTAAGGTTGGTTCTTGGCTAAAACTGAATTTACAAGCAAGTACACAGGTGAGCCTCGGAGAAGGTTCAGTAGCCTGACTAAAGTTTGGTCAAGCAAAGAATCTTTGTCGCTGGTCAACCAAGCTCAGCAGATGCAACACCAACTAAAGACCAGCCAGTGCAGCCATGGAGGAAGAGTAGCTCTCTTCCTGGAAGAAGATGGTTGGGAAAACAGGACATTTCCACTGATGGCACTAGCCAGCGGGAGCCTGATTATTCCCCGGGCTTTAGGCCTTGGAAATGAAGAGCTGGGGCTCCGATTGTCACCCAGGTCAGTGATGGCGGCTGAGATAGGGAACCAAACCATACCGACAAATAGCACAAGCTGGGCCAGTCTGTCAAGTCAGTGCCCTTTCCTCTGACCAGCAGACCTTCTGGGGAAGCAGCTGCAATGAGCAAAGGCTACCAGAATCAGTGCCATGTGAGCACTGAGACACAGAGTTCAGGACCAGGACCCAGAGCTCTGCGCAGCTGCTGCTGGGCATTGAGTTTGGCCTTGTATGTAGTCAGTAGGCTGAAATACAAATAAACCACGTGTCAAATTCATCCCTCCTGAGCTGGATGAGAAGGGAAGAGGCAGGACGATACCTTGTATCCATGGTAAACAAGCCACTTCAAACCTAAACCCATCAGGGACTCCTTGAGACCTCAGAAAAAAGTCCACAGTTTTTGACACGGTGTAAAAGGCCCTTCACACATGGCCCCACTCTGAGAAGACTCATGATTCAAATAAAAATAAAGAAGAAAGAAAGAAGACTATAAATAGTTTCCCAGCAACAAGCCCTTCCCTGTATCCAGACTGTATCCCTAATCTGTGCTTGAATAATCCTCTGAACACTTCAAAAGTGGGAACATTTCTTCCCTGAACATACCCCATTCTGTGTTGCCTAGGTCCCCATCTCTGTTCAGGAAGCTCCTCTCTTAGCACTCAATGCACTGTTTTAGAATAGAGTATCCCCTGGTCTGTCCCTCTGTTAACTGTGAGCTCCTTGAAGGCAGGAACACTCCCTAGTTTCCATAGACTTTTATGTGTAGCATAAGTACCTGACCCATAAGAGATACACAATGAATATGTGTTTGAAAAATCAAATATGTGGTCAGTCCAGAGGGTACATGTAAGTGTAGTCTCTCCCACGACGTGGTCGTAAAGGAGAACTTAAGCCTGTTTGCCTGATGTGGAACAGCATGGTTTTCTACAAACTCCTGGGGCCCTTCCATCCCCGTGGCTCATGGAAAACGTGCCTCTAATGTGTTTCATTTTCAGTCTGAGCTTTTCTTCCTTACTCAGTAGTGAGCCTGTGTGCTGGGGTCCGTCCCACAGACCCCAGATGCATGATGGATGAATAAATGCACTCAGACACAAATTTCCAGTCCACGAGTGGGATGAGGGGTCATGAGCCACTCACAGAGAGAGATGGCTGCTGCACAACACCAACGAGTTTGCCCTCTCTGCGTTTATTCAGCATAGATTTAATTACAGAGGCTTTAAGTCAACCCATTTGTAGAGACAGATTCAAGGCCAGGTTCTGATGTCCAAACCAAACACCATTGGAGGGTAATCTCCCTGGTAGACCTCCCCCTGAGAGGGCCTTCTGGCTTAAAGGTTAGTTTTAAGACCACATGAATAAACAAGTGAGTTAGATAAACTCCTGCATTCCTTTGTCTTTGTGTTCTAATCTCTCTGGCTCCTGCAAAGAGACTCTGGCTGCCTTTAGCAGAGAACTATAGAAAAAACCCGTAGGCCTTCCAAAAGCGTTTGAGACTGTATTCTGTAAATTTCTCTATTATTTTCCCTTACTATTTTTTGCCACCACCCCAAGTGAATTCCCACACCTGTGAAGGGCAAGGGCCTACCTTTCTATCTTTCTCACTCTTGGTTCTCTCCTTCCGCTCAGTGCCTTAGAGCCACTGGCACACAGGAGAAGTTGACAAAGGTTGCTTGTGTTGCCTAGGATGACACTCACAGTTCAAAAAAAGGCAATGCTGGGATCAGTAATTCTGAAGGCAGAGAATGAAGAAATCCTCAGTGGGTGAGGTAAACTGTCGTATTGTTCATAAACAGTTTGCCACCTGTGCCCCTCTTCCCCAAGGAGCAGCCCTGGCATGTGACTTGCTTTGTCCATAAGAGCCATGGTTCACTATGCTCTCTTTCCTCTCTGCTACGAGGACCGACCATGTTCCAAACCCAGCCTGCTCTGTCAGTCTGGATCCTGAAATCTAATTAATGCGCAGAAGGGTTGCTGCTGACCCTCAGTGGACACGCAGGATAAAAACAAAGGTTTTTATCTCTTTTAAACCTCTGTTTTAAGCCCCTGGGATCTGTGGTTCATTGGTTACTGAAGCATAGCTTAGTCTATCCTGACTAACATGCTGACATATACAAGCACTGACTTTTTTCTCTCAAGGAGATTTCCTTCCTAATTTTGCTTGACATTGGCCAAAGGGAAAGTAAGTGCTTAATTCCAGTGTATGCTACCACCAGCCAAGCCAGCGACTTAGGTGTTTGTATGCACCCACGTGTGTGTGTGCGTGTGTGTGTGTGTGTGTGTGTGTGCCTGTATGACCGTGTGTGTAGAGGTGGGGGATATAGGAGGAAGGAGAGAAGGGAATATGGAGGAGCCAGCCTGGGAATACACAGTACATGACAAAAACTATTTGCGGGCAGCTGACATTTTTCTACTAATAACTTTTTGAGTGTGGTTGGGAGGCTAAATAAACCATCTCCTTCCTCGCTGACCGCAGGAAACCGTGCCCCAAACCACCTGTCAGCCCTCCAGGCGGTTAGGGCAGAGCGCCACCTGCTGGGCGTGGTAAGCCTGTGCACCTGCTTCTAATTTCAACCGAGTTCTTGCTGCAGAAGGCTGTTGGCTGACCCACAGGACCTGGGACCCTTGGACCCAGCTGATACCTTAGTGGTCTCTGTACCTCACTGTACCGGCAGAGAAAAGTAGGGACATAGAGCCCTCAGCTGTCATTCCTCCTCCTCCCACAGCCGTTCAAGCTGGACTACACTCCTCTCGGAGGAGGCACCAGTAACCTCCCCATTGGAACCAGTGCGTTGGTCCCTTTGCCAGGTACTGGTGGCATTGGGGCTTGATGTAGATAGGCTGGTTTCAGTCATTACAAGTGCGGGGGAGTGAAGAAGGGTTCCGTGGGGTTCAGGAAAGTCAACCTGGGTGGAGAGCGGGAGCCCTCCCTGCAACGGCTTCCATGTACTAAACAGCTGCTACATAAAATGCAAGGCTCTCTACACTGTAGCCCCGGTCTCTGTAGGAGGAAAAGCACCACCTCTGTTTAGTAAATGCGAAAACTGAAGCCCAGAGAGGTTCAGTAACTTGTCCCAAGTTGTGTAGCTGGTAAATGAATCAAGCCTGAGTCAGTTTGGCTCAAAGAACTTAGACCGAGTCACACTGTTTCTCTCCGAAACCATAAGCTCTCTATGCCTGTCGACTGCACCTTCCAGCACAGGGCATGTGGACAGGCAGGGCTCAGGAGGCACAGGTCCCACGATGCCAAGAAGTTCTTTGGGGAGTGAGTGAGCTGCAGAGATGGTGGGGTGCAGAAGAAGGGGGTTGCTGTGCAGATAAGTGGTGTGTACAGAGCAGGCCTTGGCTGGAGGCTGTGTGAGGAAAAGCAGCCGCCCCCAAGCTAGAGTGAAGCTACCTCCTTCTAACCTGGTGGTGGTTCGAACATGCAGGTTCTCCATCAGTACACCTATAAGGACCTCTAAGTGTCACTCCCTGTGTTTGGGAAATACACAGGTGGTGATTGCAGCAAGGGGACAAGTGACAGAGTGATTTAGACAGCGTGTGATAGCTCCTGGCCAGCTAAGTGCCGCTTACTACTAGACATCACCCAGGGGAGCCTGTAGGACACCTAGACTTCCCCTGGGCTTCTGGACAAGGTGATTCCTGAGCAAAGGCCTCTGCCATCTTTTCCCTTTAAGAATTACCACTATCAGCTGGGTGCAATGGCTCATACCTGTAATCCTAGCACTTTGAGAGGGTGAGGTGGGCAGATCATGAGGTCAGGAGATTGAGACTGTCTTGGCCAACAAGGTGAAGCCCCGTCTCTACTAAAATAGAAAAAATTAGCCAGGTTTGGTGGTGTGTACCTGCAGCCCCAGCTACTTAGGAGGCTGAGGCGGGGTCATCACTTGAACCAGGAGGTGGAGGTTGCCGTGAGCTGAGATTGCACCATTGCACTCCAGCCTGGCGACAGAGCAAGACTCCATCTCAAAAATAAATTAAAAAAAGAATCACCACCATCGCTAACCACTGTCGGTGAAGGAGCAGGGAGACGCAGGAAGTGCCGTTCTAGCTATGGAAGGCCGGGAGACGCTTCCTTGAGCTCTTGGTGTCTCTGCCTCGTGAAGGCAGGACAGGGGCTTGCCGGGAAGACACCTTGCAGTGAAGCTTGTGCTGAAAACGAGCGAACCATGCTAATTGACCAGATGACCTGGCCACATGCCACTTCTCTGTCCACCGACCTTTGCTTGCGACGGAGCCTTTGGCATGTTTTTTGTTTGAAGGCTATTCTGGCTTCATTTTAGTTCTGAAGCAAGGGCTTTGACAAAAAAGAAGCCACAGTTAGCAAGAAATCTCCAAGTGGAAGATGACGCCTGAGAAGTATGAATGGCACTGGAGGCCCACAGATCCTGTCTCAGAGGTGATTCCCATTGCCAGCCTCAGAGGACTATCTTTAAATTATCTAAGTTAGCGGTGAGTTCTCACAGAGACTGCTGTAATTACCACTCAGATCTTTGTCTTCTTCTTGCAAAGACTCCTCTGGCTTCTAGCCCTGGGCCAGACAGCCCCTCTTGGCCCAATCTGGAGATAGAAGGAGCTTGTTCTCAGCCCCTGAGCTTCAGGTGATCTTCTATCGGCATCTGCAGGTGAGTCATGGGGCTCTACTTGGTCCCAGCGCACCTTTTTATAAGCTGCTGGTGTCACAGGAAAGGGGCCCCGATCCAGAATGGGTTCTTGGATACTGTGCAAGAAAGAATTCAGGGTGAGTCCTTAGAGTAAAGTGAAAGCAAGTTTATTAAGAAAATAGAGGAATGAAAGAATGGCTGCTCCATAGACAGAGCAGCCCCGAGGGCCCCTGGTTGCCCATTTTTATGGTTATTTATTGATTATACACCCAGCAAGGGGTGGGTTATTCATGCTTCCCCCTTTTAGAACAGTGTTAGGAAGTTTAGGGTAACTTCCTAACATTGCCATGGCGTTTGTAAGCTGTCATGGCACTGGTGGGAGTGCAGCAGTGAGGATGGCCAGAGGTCACTCTCGTGACCGCCTTGGTTTTGCTGGGTTTTAGCCGGCTTCTTTACTGCAATCTGTTTTATCAGTGACGTCTTAATGACCTGTATCTTTTTTTTTCTTTTTTTATTGCATTTTAGGTTTTGGGGTACATGTGAAGAACATGCAAGATTTTTGCATAGGTACACACATGGCAGTGTGATTTGCTGCCTTCCTCCCCATCACGTATATCTGGCATTTCTCCCCATGCTATCTCTCCCCAACTCCCCAGCCCCCACTGTCCCTCCCCCATTTCCCCCCAAACAGACCCCAGTGTGTAGTGCTCCGCCACTGTGTCCATGTGTTATTGTTCAACATCTGCCTATGAGTGAGCACATGCAGTGTTTGATTTTCTGTTCTTGTGTCAGTTTGCTGAGAATGATGGTTTCCAGGTTCATCCATGTCCCTGCAAAGGACACGAACTCATCGTTTTTGATGGCTGCATAATATTCCATGGTGTATATGTGCCACATTTTCCCTGTTCAGTCTATCATCAATGGGCATTTGGGTTGGTTCCAGGTCTTTGCTATTGTAAATAGTGCTGCAAAGAACATTCGTGTTCATGTGTCCTTATAGTAGAACAATTTATAATCCTTTGCATATATACCCAGTAATGGGATTGCTGGGTCAAATGGAATTTCTATCTCTAGGACCTTAAGGAATCGCCACACTGTCTTCCACAATGTTGAACTAATTTCCACTCCCACCAACAGTGTAAAAGTGTTCCTATTTCTCCACATCCTCTCCAGCATCTGTTTTCTCTAGATTTTTTAATGATCGCCATTCGAACTGGCGTGAGATGGTATATGAGGCCAAGAAACATATGAAAAAATGCTCATCATCACTGGTCATTAGAGAAATGCAAATGACCTGTATCTTGTGCTCACCTCATAGCTCATCCTGTGGCTTAGAATGCCTTAACTGGCTGGGAATGCAGCCCAGTAGGTTTCAGCCTCATTTTACCCAGCTCCTGCTCAAAATGGAGTTGCTCTGGTTCACACACTTCCGACACTGGTGCCTGCTGTTTGATTTGGTCTCTCCTACTTTACCACTGTTCTCTGCTACCTGCCCTACAACCACAGGTCACCTGTCCCCTGGGGTGGCAAAGCCAGCGCTATTCTATTGACTACTCCCAGTCTGTTCTAAGGAGAATCAAAATGAATGTCTTAAAAACAAACAAACAAAACAAAACAAGATTGTAATTTAACAACTCTCCTCACAGTGGGCCCCAGTGATAATAGGGCATGATGGAAGACCAACGGGAAACTATTAAGATTATGGTCCCTGGTGACACTCTCCGCCCTGCTCACAAAGACAATAGTATGCACGTATACATGTGCACACACATGAACATGTGTACACGCACACACACATGCATGCACACACACCTGTACACACACACACACACACACACACACACACACACACACACTTTGCTCTCCGGGAGCCTAGGCAAAGGCTATCACCCAGATCATCTAGTCTCGTGCTAAGAACGGAACAGGAACATTCAATGAAGACAAAGGGAATGTGACTTACTACTTTTTATCACTCTTAAAAATCACTGAATTCCCATCCTCTCCCATCAGAGAAGCCCTAGCATGCAAACTTGTCTTGCATTTATATTCTATTTCCTCTAGGCTATGAGAAGCAAGATAAAGGGCTTCTGGCCAGCCCCACAGAGGCCGTAACCTGCATTTAGGCATTGCGTTTGGCATACCCGGAGCTCTCTTTCAACTACTGCAATGAAGTGTAGATGAGAAAGACTCAGCCTTGCCTGCCCTGGAAAATATTCAGCTTAGTCATGGGCACCATTGTCAAAAAGATGGACCTGTATAAAAGACAAACTATTTACTTGTTATTTTTAACAAACTTTTTATTTTGGAATAAGATTAGGTTTGCAAAATAGTACAAAGAGGTTTTATATATCCTTTTTCCTGTTTCTCTAATGTTGACGTTTTTCTTCTTTTTAAATTTTTAAAGGAATTTTATTTAATTTATTTTTAATTGACAAATAAATGTGGTATATATTTATTGTGTACAGCAGAATGTGTTGAAATATGTATACATTGTGGGATGGCTAAATTGAGCTAATTAACATATGTGTTACTTCACATCCCTTTTTTTTGTGGGGAGAACACAAAATCTACTCTTAGTGATTTTCAAGTCTGTAATACATCAGTAACTGTAGTCATCGGTTGTAGGATAGATCTCCTAAACTTCTCCTATCAAACTGAAATTGTATACCGCTTTGACCAATATCCCTCCAGTCCTTCCCCAATACCCAGCCTCTGGTAACCACCCTTCTATGTTCTGCTTCCATGAGTTTGATTTTCTAGATCCCACATATAAGTAAATCATGTGGTATTCGTCTCTCTGTGCCCGGAATGATCTATGTTTGACTCTCAGCTCTTCCCGCTGGTAAAGTTTATAACTTCTTGGTTCTCACTTTCCTCATTTGCAAAATTAAAATTTTTACTGATATGGTAGTAATGTATATTATAGGAGATAAGTATTAAGATTCCAGTATAGTGCCTTGCTTATAGTAGTAACTTGCTGCTTACACACACACACACACACACACACACACACACACACACACACAACTGGCCCCAGACTGTGGATGTATTTGTTCCCTGGAGGGATGAAAATTAGTCCTAAGCCCAAGCGCTCTTAAATACAGATTCACATTTTACCTTAAGCTTTCTCTACCGCCTCCATGCAGAAGCACCTGTGTGTCCTCATCCCCAAACTTACCTCTTTTAGGGTTTTCCATGATGATGACTTGTTAGGAGAAGAGATTACATGAAGATTAGCGTGAGTCGCCTCTCACAGAGACAGAACTGAAGGAAGCTTAGAAATAGCTCAGCAAGTCCAACATTGTCATGCACAGGTGAGGACACAGGGGCCTAGAAAGAGGGAATGACTTGTCAGAGGTCCCACAGGAGAACAACGGAATAACCGAGACGATACTCAGCTCTCATATTCTCTGTCCAGCGCACCTCATTCAGAGCTCCAGTGTCTCCTAAGTCCACTGAAGATGAACATTCATGTCACGCAGATCATCAGCCCTTTGTGGCAGAGAAGACTCGAGCCAAAGGGCTGCCTGGAGAGCCCAGGACAGAGAAATCCTTTTAATTTTATTTAAGAGTGAGATGGAAGCTGACATCGTATAATTCCTGATACCTGACATAAAACTTCCGGAAGACAGAGGACTAAATATCAGGATTCGGGAGTCTGGGGTGAAAAAAATGACTGTTCTCTGTGCATGAACAAGACCCCCAGACAACAACAGGACACTTAAACATGGCACGCGGAACTGACAGCCCCAAAGTGACTGGGAGGAGTGTCAGCATAGCTGGGCATAAGCCCAGGGCATCTTCAGTGCCGGGCATGTGTGACTCCCCCAGGAATGTCAGGCTGCCAGGGCACACGTACAAACACGCAGGAGATGGTGGAGCACACTGAAGCTGGCTGCACCCACAGGCAGGGCTTCCTCCAGAGGATGACTGACTGCCAAGTGCGGAAGCCCCTTTGCAGAAATCCGTCACCAGCTGGGGTCCCTCTGCTCCCTGTGCCTTGGGCATACACAGCAGAGTGTGCACCTAGCAGTGGGGTTCCCTTTCCCTGGGGCTTGTGGAGGAGTGCACGAGGAAAGGGTAGAACACCACTGCTCGTCAGAGACTCTGAGCTTCAAATTTAGGGCTTGAAGTTCGAGTTACTCTCATTTCACAGCTTAGAAAGTTTAAGGTAGCCAAGATTAATATAAAAGCAAGGAGGAGGAGATTTGAGCCCAGGTCAATCAGACTCCAAGATGGGTAGGTAGGTGCTCTCTCTCCTGCAGCATACCATGCCATCTTCCATGGAATTTCTTTGTTTGGAACAGGATAAAGAGAATATGTACACACACACTTCTCTGATGAAGGCACACCCCCTTCCAAGCCCTCAGTGTCACACCTTTCATCCTGAGACCTCAGTTCTATGGAAATTTCACTCAAGCCAGCTGGTCAGACAACCTTGCTGGAATGTGGCAGAGGCCTGGAGAAAGGGAGAGAACAAGTCACTAGGTCATGGGAGCAGAGCTGGCCTTGCTGTTCGGGGGCCATGCTTAACAGTGGGAATGACAGTGTGTGCATCTGGGTGTCTGTGAGTATGTGTTAGTGGGTGTAGTCATATTTGAGTGCAGTCGACAGCGTGTGTGTGTCAGTGTGTGGTGAGCCCTCATGTGAGGGTTTATGAGTGCGAATATGAGTGTGTGTGGGCAAACATGTGCATGTGTAAGAGTGTGACAGGGCTGATATTCAGAAGATACACACCGGTCTGCAGACTTGTTGCTGAACCCATGGTTTTTAAAATATTAAAAATACTTTCATAAAGGGTGGCCAATGGCTGCCACACCAACTCCCCTGCCTGCCACGCCCTGGTACCACCCTGACTGCTTACTCAGCCCCCCGCGCCATGGGGATAGGAGGAGGCTGATGCATACCGCAGCAAGGGGCCCCTAGGACTTGACCCCAGCTTCCATTCTCAACGCTGAAGGTCAGTCTGGAAGGCATAGACATTATTTTGATATCTACATCAAATGATATATGAACATGCATGAGTGTATATTCGTGCACATACAAGTGTAAGTGTGTGACTGTGAACGTGCCCAGCTCTGCCTTTCTACGAGATGGTGGATGGTAAAGTCTCAGAGGACAGGGTCCAGGCATTAGGTTTCTCCTAGCCACGTGCAATGTAAGACCACTTGCTGTGTTGCAAAGAATACAGACCAGAGAGCCAGCGCACACTGAGTTTGAACCTCAGTCCTACCACCTACAGGCCATTACCTATGAGCAAGGAAGGGACCTTGCTGATCCTTAGTCTTCTATCTGCCATGGAAATAATGACACCTGCCTCAATAGGATGGTGCCACCATGCAATGGGCTGGTGTGTTGGTCAAGTCCCTGCTCCTGTAGGTGCTTCCTTGGCTTGTCAGCCTCAGCATGCCCTTTCTTTGCATGTGTTCTCCTGGTGGGCACCATCTCCTCCTGGTTCTATGTTGC